TGTGAAATGAGTGCAATTATGTGGTAGTTTGAACATTCTTTGGCATTGCCTTTCTTTAGGATTGGAATGAAAACTGACCTTTCCTAGTCCTGTGCCCACTGCTGAGTTTCTCAAATTTGCTGTCATATAGAATGCAGCATTTTAAAAGCATCACCTTCTAGGGTTTTAAATAGCTCAGCTGGAATTCCATCTGCTCCACTAACCTGGTTTATAGTAATGCTTCCTAAGGCTTCCCTGGTGGCTCAGATGGTAAAGCATCTGCCTGCAATGCGCGAGACCCGAGTTTGATCCCTGGGTCAGGAAGATCCCCTGGAGAAGGAAATGGCAACCCACTCCAGTACTCTTGCCTGGAGAATCCCATGGACAGAGAAGCCTGGTGCGGGCTACAGTCCATGGGTAGCAAAGAGTCGGACACGACTGAGTGACTTCACTTTCACTTTCTTTCAATGCTTCCTAAGGCCCACTTGACTTCACACTCCAGGTTGTCTGCCTTTAGGTGAGTGACTATATCGTCGTGGTTATCTGGGTCATTAAGACTTTCTTGAATAGTTCTGTGTATTCTTGCCACGTCTTCTTAACCTCTTCTGCTTCTGTTAGGTCCTTGCCATTTCTGTTCTTTATTGTGCCCATCTTTGCATGAAATGTTCACTTGTTATCTCCAGTTTTCTTGAGGAGATCTTTAGTCTTTCCCATTCTATGATTTTCCTCTATTTATTTGCAGTGTTCACTTAAGAAAGCTTTCTTATCTCTCCTTACTGTTCTCTAGAACTCCACATTCAGGTGAGTATATCTTTTCCTTTGTCTTTCACTTCTCTTCTTTGCTCAGCTGTTTTTAAGGACTCCTCAGACAACCACTTTGCCTTCTTGCATTTCTTTTTCTTTGAGAAAGTTTTGGTCACCACCTGCTGTACAGTGTTACAAAGTTCTGTCCATAGTTTCTCTGGCTGTCTGTCTACCAGATCTAATCTCTTGAATCTATCCTCACCTCCAGTGTATAATCATAAAGGATTTTATTTAGGTCATACCTGAATGATGTTTTCCCTACTTTCTTCAATTTAAGCCAGAATTTTGCAATAAGGAGCTGATGATCTGAGCCACAGTCAGCTCCAGGTCTTATTTTTGGTGACTATATAGAGCTTCTTCATCTTCAGCTGCAAAGAATATAATCAACCTGATTTTGGTATCAACCATTTAGTGATGTCAATGTGTAGAGTCATCTCTTGTGTTGTTGAAAGAAAGTGTCTGCTATGACCAGTGTGTTCTCTTGGCAAAACTCTGTTAGCATTTGCCCTGCTTCATTTTGTACTCCAAGGCCAAACTTGCCTTTTACTCCAGATATCTCTTGAATTCTTACTTTCGCATTCCAATTCCCTATGATGAAAAGGACATCTTTCTTTTGTCTTAATTTTAGAAGGTCTGGTAGGTCTTCGTAGAACCATTCAACTTCAGCTTCTTTGGCATTAATGGTTGGGACATAGACTTGGGCATAGACTTACTGTGTGATACAGAATGGTTTGCCTTGGAAACGAACCAAGATAATTCTGTCTTTTTTGAGACTGCACCCAAGTACTGCATTTTGGACTCTTTTTTTTACCAAGGGGGCTATTCCATTTCTTCTAAGGGATTCTTACCCACAATAATAGATATAATGAGAGAAACTATTTGTTAAGAAATGCTAAGCTGTTTGTTTGCATTATTTTTTTCTTTCCAAGATTATTAAGAAGAGTGTCTTAAAATAATACAAGAAAAGCTATTTTTTACAATGTCTTCCTTTTCAGAACGTATAGTCATTATCAGATCTGTCTAAATCTAAAAAAGTTGTGCTTTACTATTAATGGTTATGCATTTCCCTAAAGAGAAAGTAAAAGTTTTAATTCAAAGGTAAATTTAAAAGTAGTAGCTAAAGATGATCTTTTTGATACCTTTAGATGTAGGTCGATTCAATGAGATCAAAAATTTCATTAGAAACACATAAGACTTGGGGATTCTCTGGCAGTCCACCAGTTAAGACTCCACGCTTCCCATGCAGGGGGTTCAGGTTCAATCCCCGGCCAAGAAACTAAGACCCCACATGCTGTGTGGCCAAAAAACAAACAACAACAACAACAAAATCACAGATTTTTTTTTAAATAGAATAAAAATGTGTTTGTACAATGAATGTGGTGCCAAAATATACTTCTCTAGACACAGCATAAAATTTTTAATGTTGCTTATGCTCTGAATTCAAATACAAGGGCAGAGAAAATATTCCACCCATCCACTCTCTTTATTTCACCTTTTGTGTTTATTAGTAGCAATGAGTGGTTTTCTGCTGCTGATACTATTGGTGCAAGTGTGGTAGATAACAATAATTTAGAAACCTCTGGACTCACCCTGAATTTGATTTTGTCTGTTTGTGAGCATGTTAAGGGGCAGTGATGGGAGAAATCTGGAGATTGATCTTTTGCCAAAGGCCCTGCTCTGCAAATCAAGGGCAGTGAGCAGGGCAAGCAGAAGGGAGGGAGTGGGAGGTTCTGTGTGTTTACTGAGCTGCTTAAAGAGGTACATTAATTAATAAAGGAGAAACCAGAGACACCTGTGAGATGGATGGTGGGCTTAGATTTCACACAGGGGTGTGATGAAGCAAATGGGGGCATTTCCTAACCAAAGATTGAGTTCAAATTTACTACCAGCTGCTGATAGAGGAAAGTGACAGTGAAATATTTTTAAAACTGAGCAGAGTCTTCCCAGTGCACCAGCCCTGAGCACTTGTCTCATGCATCCAATTTGGGCTGGTGATCTGTTTTGAGGGATCGGATGGGGAAGGAGGTGGGAGGGGGGATCGGGATGGGGAACACATGTAAATCCATGGTTGATTCATGTCAATGTATGGCAAAAACCACTACAATATTGTAAAGTAATTAGCCTTCAACTAATAAAAATAAATGAAAAAAATAAATAAAATAATGAAATAAAATAAAACTGAGCAGAGAAGGAGAAAAGGAAGCAATGTTGGAAAGGTGATCCTAAAGTAGAAGAGGAGGAGGTGTCAGAGCAGGCAGGCCAGAGCAAATACAGTCTTCAGTTGTGTCACATGTGAGGAATACACATGAAAATAAGAGGCTTTTAAAATGCTATTCTCTATCAAGTAAAAGGTAGGCAAGACAGGCAAGGTCTTGCCAACCTTCTTTCCTTCCTATCTGTTCCATTCTTCTTTCNCCCCCCGTGCCTCCTGCATTGGCAGGAAGATTCTTCCCTGCTGAGCCACCAGGGAAGCCCTGGTTATGCCTGAGCCTTTGTTAAATTATGATGCAGATAAAATGTGGCTTTGGAGGCTCTCTTTCTCTCTCTTTATTTCCCTTCCAGCATTTCCCCCCTCCAGGGCACCCACGCCCATTTTTATTACTGCCCCCCACCTGGCCTGCCCTTTTCATGTTGGCCCCATCACCTACCAGGCTGTTCCCAAACTGAAATCACCCAGTGAGTCTGCCCCTAAAAGTTCAGACAGTGAGCAACTGACAGGACATGAACAGGTAACCTCCAGGAATACTGCGGAAAGATGCTCAGAAGAAGAAAAGAAGGACATGCAGGGGAAGGAAGAGTGATCAGGTTAAGTGAGGAGCACCTGGATTTTAACAGACTGTAACTGAAGCTGTCATTAACCCCAAAGGAAGCCCTCTAAGGGAGAAATTCATACATTAAGATTGAACCTCTTCCTGAAATCTTTAATTTCATGGTTAGGGAAGTCTTCCCAGGAGTTTCATTTACATCTCTTGAAATTTCTTAGTTTGCTTCCATATAAGAATAGTTTCCAGAAAGAAAAACACCAATACAGTATACTAATGCATATATATGGAATGTAGAAAGAAGGTAACTATAACCCCATATGAGAGACAGCAAAAGAGACACAGGTGTATTGAACAGTTTTTTGGACTCTGTGGGAGAGGGTGAGGGCAGGATGATATGGGAGAATGGCATTGAAACATGTAAAATATCATATGTGAAATGAATCGCCAGTCCAGGTTTGATGCATGATATAGGGTGCTTGGGGCTGGTGCACTGGGATGACCCAGAGGGATGGGATGGGGAAGGAGGTTGGAGGGGGGTTCGGGATGGGGAACACATGTACACCCATGGCTGATTCATGTCAATGTATGGCAAAACCAATGCAATATTGTAAAGTAAAATAAACTAATTACTTAATTTTTTAAAAATACTCAAAAAGAAAAAAAAAAGAATGGTTTCAACTTAGAGTCCTGAGCTTCCAAAAAATTACATGTAGCACATATCTAACTATGTTAAAGGTTAGTGATCATATGAAATGTTACCATGGCAACTCTAAAAGACTTTAAGTAGTGATACAGGCAGTTCCTCAGTTTTATCAAGAGATGGTGCCGTTTAAACACAACAATGCATAGTCTCCAGTTTATTATTTAATATAATAAATTTTTATAATTTCTCAGAATTGTTCCTATGAACAAATAACCAGCCTTTGTGCTCGATTGAGTTTGAGTGCTTTCAACAACCATTTCCTCTCAAGGAGATATTTTTCTGGAGTTTTATTTTGTCATTTTCATTTGATTACTATTTCTGTTCAAAACCTTCATCTGTTACTTAGAAAGAAAATTCAACAAAGAAAAGACATCTTTATCCCCACAAATTTCACTCCAACTGCATTTTGATTCAAAGTGATGTAAAGAGAGGTGGAAATAAAGACCAAGGAAACTTTCTCCCAGGTGCGCCTTCAGAGTCACTTAGCCTGTTCAGGGGGATTCTAAAACCACAAATATTTGTAGGGATCATCCCTTTAGTTCTGAGAAAATGGTTTCCTTAATTATGTTTTTGGTTTCACTCTGACAGCTTCTCATGCGTCCATGGAGGCCCATAGCTGGTTCTGCCACTGTGTTCAGTTTGCAGATTATGCACTTTATGAGGCAAAACATAGCAACACAAACATTTAAATTGCTCCCACGTTTTATAGCCTCAACTGCTGTATTTTATATAAAGGCCACAAAATGAGT